GAACGCGTTTAAATTTAATCGATGATTATGTTAATTAAATACAAGACTCAGCTATCAATCAACTCTTAACCATTTTTTGCCTCAATGTTTCATTTGTTCACGCCTCTCGAATCCCCCAAAAGGCATAAATTTCGGACTGCGGAGAGTGGGAAGGTGGTGTTGGCATGAGTGGGCAGCTGGAGGTTTAGCAGCCCCGGGGGTTTGTACCCCGTTCGGACAGGCAATTTTTTTTAAATCGACTAACAGTGACGTTTCGCGATATTTGATGATTTATCGGAGAAGCTTTTCACTGATTTTATCTTCCTAACGCTATCCCTCTACTCCCCCCACTCCTACTTCCCCCTCTCAAGCGAGTATTATTTATGGGCCTTTTAGTTTTAATTTTTATCCCTTTTGTTTAGTTAGTCAATTTTCTCTTATCCCTACCTCCTCCCTCTCTCGAAAGCTATGATGAATTGTTTCTTGATTGGAAAAGAATCATTTTTATTCTTCAATCCTCGGTTTTCACGTTGACAGAACAGTAGATTGTTTTTTTTTTTAATGTCGAATATTATGCCAATTATGTAAAATAATCATAAAGGAAGGAGATGGTCCGGGGTGGCGGTCATAAATAGGGTCATAAATAGGCTAAATAGTGACAAAACTATTTTATTAAAAGCCAACGTTTCGACACGACTTTGAAGGTCTTCTTATTTATTGAGTATTACAACAATCTGTCTCTTGGACATTAGTTATAGTGAGGTAGGATAACATTCACACTATATGTACAAAAAATATAAAACAAATAGATGCAAAATAACAATAAATAATAATTAAAAAGTATATACAATAAATAAAATAAAATAACCTAAAAACAAGAAAATTAAAACTAAGTAAAAACACATGCATACCTATATACACTATAAATGGGCTTATTAAATAAATTATATATAATAATATAACGATACAGAAGTTTTTTTTTTTTTTGAATGGTATAAATTGTTTCCATTTTTTGTCTTTTTATAACAAAAAAAAAGTTGTATATTGACAACATAATTTTTCTAGTTATCAATTGAAAAATAATTCTCCAGATTTCTTACCTACTTAAATGAAAAAAATTGGTATTTGTTTTTTTTATAGGATCTCCTTTACTCTAGATTTTTTTCAAATGTCGAGTATTGTGCCAATTATGTAAAGTAATCATAAAGGAAGGAGATAGTCCGGGGTGTCGGTCATAAATAGGCTAAATAGTGGCAAAACTATTTTATTAAAAGCCAACGTTTCGACACGACTTCAGGACTGGAACAGACAAGATACAAAAAAGGTAGAGAATAGTGGAAGTTACATAATAATCATAGAAAAATAAAATTTTAAACAATGTGAATTAGATTATTAATATTATAAACAGTAAGTGCATTAAAATATAAATAGAGTTAGCTAAGTAACAAGATCCATACAGGTGTGTTCACCTAGGAATTTCACTTAGAACGGGAAATCCAGGGTAAGGGCAGGTATTGGAGGATTTGCTGACTTGTTGGGGTAATGGGGAAAACCTAGAAACTGTAATTAGATAGAAACGTACTATATCTGAAAATATTCTCAGTTTGACTTAACTGCAAGACTTGGAGGGTCTGGTCTTGGTCTTGCGAAAAACTTGGAGGCTCTAGTCTTGGTCTTGGTCTGGCAACAATTTTTGTTGTCTTCGACTTGGCCTTGCAAAGATGCAAGAACAAGACAGAGACCAATTTTGGGTAACACTGGTTATAATATAATTGTCATTGTTCATGTTTGTTATTCATTAGGAACTAAACGTCCCAGAATAAAATTTACTTTCTTCTTATTCTCCAAAAAAACAATCTGTGCATATTTAACAATAATTATTTAAATAAATAGTTACTTTTGATTGTTAAAAAGTAATGAAGGCCTCTAGTAGCGTTAATGTTAGAATACTGTTAAATACGTTCATGCAAGCACAACATCCCTTTCTTCCCTATAAACCTATCGGCTATTCCTTATAGTTTCGTTAATATGACTACTGTCCCAACCGTACTCAGCCTCCCTTATTTTCTATAGCATGCCATGAATGATAATATCCTGAGGCGTACCGACTTTGCGATATGACTAAGGCCTGACGTAGATTATAGGATGAAGAAGAGGAGACACTATAGGACACGATGGGCAGCGGGTGCTGTGGTTATATTTCACAGCGGGGGACTCCCCCTCCCCGCCCCCCACCATCCCGCAGAAAAATGGCCATAACTCAACTGAATAAATAGGCTAAAAGGGAAGCGCCTCCAGTCCAGACTTTTCGCTGCGCGGCGATAATGTGTCATCTTTATGTTTCCCATCCTCCTCTAGGTTTTTTTCTTAAACATGGGCTCCTGTATAGAGGTGTGCGTCCTTTATTTGCAGTTTTATCGTGAGTCCACATTTCCCGATGTTTGCTTATAGCGGGTGTAGGGAGGGGGGAGGGGGGCAGCATCGCCCCAGAACGTGCCCTGCTGCTCCCTACCGGGATTATTGTAAAGATTACAGGACAGCGGTTGATCGTTGTTGAACAAATACAAGGTCCGTGCTTACTCTTTTACGCTTGTTTGCTTAATCCACCTTTTTTTTTTTTTCTCTACCTCGATGGTGACCGTTGGGGTGTTATATTATTTTTTAAATGTGCTACCCGTGAACCGATAGCAACTTTTTTTTTGTATTGAACATATAACGATTTATGAAAAATATGTAAAATTCTAATATTATTTTTGTAATTGAAAAACTATGCCAAAATTGATTCAGCAGATTGTTAGAGCTATGAGATTTTACTCTGTAAAGAATATATTCCTTAGAAGAATATAGACTTCGCTCTCTGAAATACAGATAAAACAATCTTACATGTTCAATTCAGTTTCAACGATTCTGGCACAATCGGGACAGAAACAACCACACCAAATACATGCAGAATGTGATTTATTTCATTAAAACTCAAATATATTCAAGTTAATTTCATCAATTTTCTAATATTCATAACTTGAATAATTACATGCAAAGGAGTTGATCGGTGGGTGTGGTTAGATAAATACTAAACTTAACAAATAGTATTATTTAATTTTGCCGACGTTTCGACCCACTTTGCGGGTTTTCATCAGGGCGTAGGATGCATGGGGGCGGGGTGGCCGAATGGGATAAAGTGTGTGCACAGCACCGAAAGTTGTCTGGCAACCGGATTACAGATTTGAGATTTAAAAAGTAAGAGTTCGCGTCCCGGTGCCGGAGGGGATTTTAAATTCCCCGCCCTCACCCTCTGGCCCGGAAAAATCCCGTATAGCCTAAAAGGCGAGGTAGGGAAGAACAAAAAAAAAAAAGGCATAGGATGTAGCACTGCGGGAGGCAGTTGAAACACTGAGTGTCGGCAAAAATTAAATAAAACTATTTGTTTAATTTAGTATTTATCTGACCGCACCCCCCGATCACCTCCTTCTCATATTATATCAACGGTCAACCATCTCTACATCATTATAAATAATTATATATTAATTATTTATAGCTCTAGATTAATAAATATCTCACAGAAACTTTGGCCCGCAACTATGTCACAGAGGTCACAGGTTCCTCACCTATGAACTTTAGTTTTGAACTCTCCATTTAATAGACAATAGCTGGTTAAAACATTATAAAAATCTAAAATGCAGAGTTTCAAAATTAATTCAAATGTGTAATTATAGGTTGATGGTTGACATTGTGGGTTGATTTAGGTAGAAAAACTTTAAGTAAAATGAAGCAGATAGAGTGAACATTAAAGTAACATAAATTAGGTAGAATAATAACTGCTACAAAGTGCTTATAACGGTTACTTCATTAGTCCGCACTTTGAAGCCGTTATTATTATTTATTAGTTCTCTGTAACTGTTATTATTCTACCTGCTTTATTTTACTTAAAAGTTCACACTATCTACTTCATTTTATTTAAAGTTTTTCTACCTACATTGTTTATGTTTCTCGTACCTATTGTTATCTGTTTCTTTTCTCAGCCTTGATGAAGGCTTGAACTTCGGGCCAATACTTCGGCAAATGTTAAAATAATTATTATTATTTATTTTTGATATTTTTTATTTTGACTGATCACCCCAATTTATCCTACTCTTCAATAACTCAAAAAAATTTTTTTTTCAAATAGGCTAACCCACTTAACTTTTTTGGACTTTCTATTTCTTCATGTGTGGTTTTTTTTTCGCTATCTAGCGATTACGTAATAAAATAAAAATACATATATATTGTAGTATTCAAATAGAGAAATAAATACATATAGGTCTTACGAGAGCCTTTCTTGAGCTCATCCCTGTTGAAGGCCTGAACTTTGGGCCTAAACGTCTATTAAAATGAAAATAACTATTATTTATTTATTTATTTTTTTTTACTGTTTAAAAGCAGTGTGTAGTACACAAAATTATTTATGACATTTTTTTAAACGGAACGTAGATATGTGTATGTCTGCTCAATAGTAATACGCTTTAAATAGTATCAGCTATGACAAACTACTTTCTTTTAAAGTAAATTTTGTTTTGCTTACTATGGAGCAATTTTTAATTACTTAAATTATATATTTTTTAAATTTTATATATATATATATATATATATATATATATATATATGTATATATATATATATATATATGTATATATATATATATATATATATATATATATATATATATATATATATATATATATATATATATATATATATATATATATATATGTAAGTTTTATACGCTTCCTATTCAACTAAAAACACAATTAAAAAAAAAACACAAATCTTAGATTCTATAATTCTCTGTTGGAAATTGGGCAATTGTTTATATGAACTTTTTGTAAATCTTAATGTCTACAATCAACCTTTTACATATTTCTCTCTATTACCCTATATATATATATATATATATATATATATATACTAAAAAATTAGTCTAAATATGTAAATAAATTGTATTCTGGACTGTGACATATTCTCTTAAGATAGACGCGGGGTCAGAATCACGTCCCAACCATCTGGTTTGCTCCTTCAGCTCCGCCGGGCCCTTTATGTAGTCCGGGTGTGTTCCGGCCAATCCTATTGAGCGAACGCCCTCCAGTCGAAGCCTTGGCAGCTCGCGCGGACCTCTTCATATGTATTTCCCTGAGAAATGTGCCATCAATAATTCGTTGTACACTCTCTCGGGCTGTTGAGGAAAATTGAATATAGAGGTTGTTGCATAAATCGCGAGGCCTGGATGTGGGGAAAGCCTCCCCTCGAGGAATATAATAAAATATGTATCTCCGGATCCATTCCTTTTCTTCTAGTCCCTTTCCTTCTCAGTTTTCGTCGGGGAAAATTCCTAGCCTTCTGAGGAGAGGGGGGGGGGCGAACCACCCCTGCAAAACCTCCTCCCCTCTCTCGGAATCCGTGTAATTGATAACGACTGTCCAGGTTTTGATAAATGACTCAGCGTCGTATCCACCCCTGAAGTAAAAGTTTATATAGTTGAGAAATTAATTAATATTATTGTAGGTCCTCCCCTCTTAGAGGAAAAATTATAATAAATAGTCCTAAAGCTGCGTTGCAGCTGAGAAAGTTAAAAAGAAAAAAAAAACGAAATGAGATAGATTAAATAAAAAAAAATATTAATCCGGCAGCTCTCGGATTAATGGGTGTAATAAATCTGTTTAATAGATGTTGGTAGATTGATAAATACTAAAGCTGTTTAATATCATTACTTGGTAGGGGCGCTCATTTAAATTTTACTAACTTTCTCGTTTCTTCTCTTTTCTCAGCGTCAGATTTGATTAGGCTATCCGATAGGAGAAGTTTCATTTCGTCAGTTTCATGAGCCCATTTTATTATTCATTTGAATTTTTTTTTTCATCTCGCAGCTGCATTTCTTAAAAATATTATATAATTTATGTACCCTTTATTGTGGGGAAGATGGAAGAGGGGTAGCTCAGTGGGTGAGGCACTGACTTCCAATGCTCAAGTCCCTTGTTCATATCCGGCTGTGGACGATAATTATTTATTCCGTTACATCAGCTGTGTATTAAGGATACCCCTCTGGGGCTCATCCAACCTCTTCAACAACTTTAAAAATGAGGTTTTTTCAAAAAACATTTTTTGTTTAACCTAGTGCCGATTTAAAATTGTCCTATTATTAGCTTAGTCGTCCATTGAATTTAGAGAACTTGTATAAATATTTGATAACTTTGTACAAGAATTTTGTTTTTATTTATTGAGTATGATAGATCTTAAAATATTTTATATTTTTTTATAGATCTGTGTTATGTTTTTAGAGATTTACCTCCCTGCAGATTAGGGGATTATAAATATAACATAATATAATTATTAGCGAACCCGAAGGTTCGATGCCGACACCACCAATAATAGCTTATAACACACGTCCCTCCAACGTTCGCCGTAGAAACCCAGCCCCTTCAGATCGGCTTTAACACAATGTTCCAACCTTCGCTTAGGTGTCTATCTCTCGGACGTTTACCATTCGGTACAGCAAATATAAACCTTTTAGGAATTCTTTCGTTACTAAGTCCAACTATTTTACAAGCCCATTTGATTCTCCGCGTTGTAATCACCTCAATTAGATTAATTGGATACAGTTCACGCAACTCGGCGTTGTGCGACCTTCTGAACTCTCCTGTTAACTCATCTTTCTTCGCTCCGAATATTCTACGCTATACTTTATTTTCAAAAACCTTACGACGTTGCGCATCTCTTAATGCAAGAGGCCACGTTTCACATCCATAAAGAACTGTAGTTTGGATACGGGTTTATTAGTATCAAATGAAATACTTTAAAATACATTTTTTTTTATTTTTGATTTGATGTTTGATTGTATAAGAAAAAAAAAAAAAAAAAAAAAAGGTTTTATATATACAAAATAAATTACCGAAGTGAGTAGCTTTCCTTTGAGTATTGTAGTAAAAATCGATTTTAGTCATTTTTTCCTTCGATTGTGTTTTATTTGTAATACAGTTTTTGGAAACGAAACTGACTAGCCTAAAAGCATATTACGTTAAAAAGGTGAACTATTAAATAGTAGTTAAATTAACAAGTAAAGGTGGACCGACAGAAATTCAGCTAGAAAAAAAATTTTTTTTCTTTTTCTTTTACAATATTTTCAAGTAATATTTAGCTTAGAAAAAGGAAGCCTTCAATTGAAGTAACACCTTAGAGAATATTTAAACTAAAATAATTTGACAAAATGTCAGTTTTATTATAAATTGTTCAGTAGTATTATTAATTTGAAAAAAGTTATTTATTATTATTATTATTATTATTATTGTATATCTGCTGTCTTCTAATAGTCCGTGGTACAGACCACTTTTCATCAAATTATTAACATCCTCCTAAAACTTTATTTCATCGCAACATACAATTTTGTTTATTAACGAATATTCTCGGATTTTGGACGTTTTCAATCTGGAGATCGGTGAACTTCTAACACTCACTCACCCATTTGCTTTTCACTTGAATCTTAATATGATATGATCGCAAAATCGAGAAAAGTGGCCTACAATATTTTTTTTTTTTATATATACATTACAACATGTCATACAGATAAGTTACAAGTTTATGGTTATAGTAACCTGGCCTACAATAATGTTGGGCCGTAATATAGGCCAAGTGGTCGAATATTTTTATAGGCCGTCTTTTTCTTCTTTTTTTTTCGATTTTGTTATTATCTTACGATTCAAGTGTGGAAAGAGTATTTATGAGTTTTAATTTAATGAATATAATAAAAATGTGTCTCTACCACGGATTATAATCTCATGACAAGAAAGTATTTTGTATTTGAAATACTTTCTCTGAAAATATTTTAAAATGTTTGTCCAGATCTGTATCCGAAAAATTCATTTTTTCTTTCTCTATACCCCTGCCCTTAAAGATTTCATTATTGACTAAATTGGTACGGCAAGAAATAAATAACGCCATTATGTTCTTAGATAAGAAGTATTACCCTTTTTGTGATTGATAGTCTCTTATGAAATAACTGGGAGCTCCACGGACACAGAAAAATGGAGGAAAAGTTTGTTCAAAGAAGATGAATGATCGGTATTTCGAACTTGCGGTATACCTCCCCTCCTCTTTCTATTCCTCCTCCCCCCCACTCCCTCACCGCCTGTTTGCTTAAGTTGTTAGTTTGCGAAATAATCCTTGTCAGGTTGCTCGCTTACCAGCTTGAGATCTTTTTTTCCATTACACCCGGTAGCCTTGCTTCTTTAAAAACTTTTATACCTTTAAAATTTTGTTTAAACAGGTATATTAGCAAATATTTTCATATAATTATTTTATTTTTTCGTGTTGTAATTAAAATGAAATTTCTCAGTAGCGGATACTTACTGGAAATTAAAATTTATTGCAAAACATGATTAAAAAAATATATAAGAAACAGTGGATTAAAATGAGAGTTTATTCAGTTAAAAACATTTTAATTTACAATTATAATATATATATATATATATATATATATATATATATATACACATATATATGTGTGTGTGTGTGTGTGTGTATTCATAATAACCTGTGGAGGAGGAGAGAGCTTTCGGGCTGAAGCTCCCAAAATAGATTTTTTTTTTTTCAAAGATACATATTTCTTACTGTGAGTGACCCAAGGTAAATACTTAAACTATATACTTAAGATAGTATGTTCTATCTTTTTAAATCATAATACATTGCACATCGTGCTGCTAAATATAACCATGTCTTATGGAAAAAATTTAAAAAAATTGTCTCTAAAAGTATTATTGTTCTTATAGCTACATTTTTAATAGGACTTTACGCATCACTTAAATGCCATTTTGTATAGTTTGCTAGTTTCTTTCTGAGTAATTATCGTCATATATGTGTACATCTTTCGGATGGAGTCCCTTTCAAAATTGAATCCTGAATACGCTATTGATGAGAAATGGTATCTTTTTTATTGCTCATATAATATAAGAGGTTAATATTTCTATATATTTTATTATTATTATTATTTATATGATATTTACAACTGTTTAAAAAAAATACGTCTGGTAAATTCGTACATGGTTATAATGACATGAAACACATGTTCAGAAACTACCCATTGGTAGCACTCTATTAATATGTCTATATTAGGAGATCACGGGGCCATCTTCATTTCAGACGCCTCGGAGTGTTATCAGGAATTGAAGAGGAAGCAAGGTTAGAAAAGAGAGGGTTGGGATGGTTCTGAAGTTTATTATGGAAGGATAGGTATCTGGATTGGGCCAGATCTGAAATACTAAGAATTATGATTATTGTGGATGATTTTGTATGTAACAAAGTAAGGAGCATTGAGGATTTTACGAAGGATTTTGGATTGTAAGGATTGGAGACGAGAGGAATTAGAAGGTCTGGTGGAGCCCCGTTGCTCAACTCCGTTGAATAACTTAAAATCGTAATATAATTTTTGTTTAAACTTTTTGGTCAATAACTATTCTGTTTTCTAAATTGGTTTAAAGATATTGGTATAACTCTTTCACTGTCATCCTTCAATTTTTTTTTTAGCATTCTAATTTGTGGAAAACATCTTCATTGAGTTAAAAAGACTGAGAGATTACGAAAATGTATTGTCACATCACAGCTCCTACGAATATAATTGTTTGAAATAGTAGCGCGAATGCTGGAGGATCAATGCAAAATTTGATTTAGATTGATGCAAAATAGTTTCAGGAAATTATTTTGTTAGCTTGACATTTCTATGTTGTGCTCGCTGGTCACACTATTTTTTTCCACTTCAAAATGTCACACTATAATGTTTTGTATTCTAATTTTTAATGTAGCGGATAAATTGCGAATACTAGGTTTATCATCAAATCCACTCTTTAATAACGTGTTTTTTTTTTTAACGTACGTTATTAGACAATTTGCATTAAAAAAAAATGCAAGCATTAACAAGAGACTGTAAAGCCAATTTGAAAACCGAATCCCCAGTAGATATAACTGAACTGAGCTACCATAAATTGGATTAATGTTATCAGAATATGAGTCTCACAGGTTCCCAGCTGTCCGTTATGAAGAAACTTTTCAATCAAAATCCTTTTATCAACTCAGTCCATTTTCGTTTTAAAAAAACATTCGTTATGCATATATCATTTACAGCGTGAAATTATCCGCACCGAGAAGTTTTACTGTATTGTAAAATAATTCGGCTTCAAAACTGATATGGATTTCGGCGGTATGAATTATAAATATTACGAATTTATGAATATTGCAAAGTATGAAATGTCAGTTTTCGGACTATTTTATTTAAAATGACTTCTGTTTGCTCGGCTGAGTTTTTTTTAACCTTGTTCGAAGGAAATTTTTGACATTGAATCAAATAAACTTCAGAGATGAAAATTTTACTTTAAAATATGGAATATTTTGTTTTTTTTAATGGCACACTAATGTCAGTCAGAAACAATTCATACGGAATACGGCGGATTTTTATTTTTAGACTCACAATACTTACATTTTTTAATTTGAAAATTGCAGTTATTAAAAATCTAGCGTATTTAAATATTAACTAAAACTACTACTAAATTGTTAAAAAAAAAAAAAAAAAAAAGGGAGTATCTGAAAAATAGAATAATAGATATAGAAAATCATAGAACCAAAAACAACGTAAGAGACATGTAAAAAGGTATAAATAAATCACTTAAATGTTTTATGTTTATGGTAAAAAATACATAAAAGTTTAATTTAATAAGATTTATAAAAAGTAAGAGTTACTTCTTTTAGTGTACTCATATTTCTAATATGATACTAATTGCATAGATAGATAATCTCCATTTAAATCATTATAATAGCAAATCGGG